AAGTTTTACTTTAAGCAAATCTTACAGGGGAGTACTAGTATTTATAGAACAAATAAATTGTATGGGAAATATTTATTTAGCAAAATCCTTTTGCTCAGAATAGCTGTTTTATGTAAGAAGTCACTGAATAAACTTCAAATGCATTTTGCACCCAATATTATCCAAGACCCAGTTCAAATGGGGATCATTTGATAAGATACTCTGGGAACAAAGTAGCTAAATACACAATTTACAGAACTGATAGATAGTAAGATACTATTGCAAGATACTAAAATGGGTTGGGGATAGACTTCCAGACTTAATTTCTAAACCCTCCTATTTAGATAAATCTTTCAGAATTCTGGAGTCTTCTAACAGACGTCCTGGAGAGATTCTGCACCTGCTTATGCCAGTCATTGGTGTTACTGCTCACACAGAGTTAGGGAAGGAAAGGTTCTCAGAGATGTTCTCTTTTACCACTCATAGAGTTCTTAGAGGCCAGTAGCATTGGTGGGGTCTGGGAGCTTGACAGAAGTATAGAATCCACCTCCTAATCTGGTAAAACAGAACCTACACTTTAACAAGATCCCAGGTACTTTTTATGCACAGTAAAATTGAAGACACCTGAGTCAAGATTCAGTGCCAGAAACCCTACATAGCTGGCTGCATTGTATGATTACAGTTGCTGCCCTAAGGATCTTCAAAAACAGAACAGAGCCATTAGCCCAGCTCCTGTCTTGCTTGGCTTGGGGAGACAATGCCATTTTAAAGGTTAGAAATGCCACTCCCCAGAAGCAAACAAAGCATAGGATCCAGAAAATGTGCTTAGAAGCTGTGCTTGCCTAGAGCCTGAGTTTGTTAGAACAGTCAATTCACTGAGGAAACCATGATAGTAATTTCATCTTTGGGCCACTTGAAGCTCTTCCGAAGACATATTTTTAGGGAAACTGTGGACATTAGTAGGTCTGCTTTTAAAATTAGGGGGGAGTGAAGAGTGGAGGATATGGGACAGAAGTGGGCCAGAGTGTAATGCTCATGAGAAAATGTATTTGTGTTTCAATTGCTCATGAGTTCTCTATTGGTACCAACCTGAGACTGGCCCATTTAATACACTCAGGCAGTATTTGTGTCCAGAAAGGTGGCAGGATGTTGAGGAGGGGAGTTGGAGCTGAAGGCTTTGATCTTTCTTGTAAAAGATTATGCATGGGATTGTATAATAGAATGATCATGAGGCTGTACACATATTGCTCAGTGACAGGAGACACCAACTCCTATAACAAGAAATGACTTATGGTAAGATGTTCTAGGAGAGTCAAAACCTTGATAATAACAAAGAAAAAGAAAAAATGTTCACAATATTCCTTTGCTCCTGGGCAACCATCCCTTGCAGATTTGAGTTCAAAAAGGGAAAGTTCAAAAAGTTTATTTGGGATGCCTTAGGACCAAGCTGCCTCCCTGCACCCCCAGGGGGTCCCCACAGGACTTAAACACAGAATTACCCAAGAGGGCCATAAAACAGAGGTGGACCACCAAGGCAAATACAATAAACCCTTTCTTATTTGGTGGATATAGATTAGAGTCTGAAGAGAAAAAATGATACTTAATCCCTTACCTACTCATCCCAGGAACTTTTAAAAGACTACCATTTTCTACCTCTATTTAAAATTATGGAAGCGTAGTTTTTGATTTGAAAAGATGAAAGGATTTAAGCTTCTACTACTGGCTTATTTTCCTGGCTAAGTGATTAACAAAAAAGTGAAATTCATACCAGTAGCATTCTTTCTCTCCAGATCAGTATTTTGTAAAACTTCATTTCTCTCCTCTAAATTCTTCCCTAGTTTCTTACTTTAAAATATGTTCATAATTGTAATTTCTAATGGACTTTTGAGACTTTTTCTTGCCCATATGCTTTAACCCAGTGTTGTCCACTAAATATATAAGTCACAAATTCAAGTCACACATGTAATAGTAAATCTTCAAAAAGCCACATTAAAAAGCAGAAACAACCATTAAAGCTTATTTTCATATTACATTTTATATAATTCAGTATCCAAAATACCATTCCAATAAGTAACCAGTATAAAAATTGTTACTGTGATACTTTGCAGTCTCTTTTTATGCTAAATCTTACAGATCTATTGTATATTGGACACTAACAGCACATATCACTTCAAACTAGCCATTTGTCAAGAGCTCAGTAGTCATATGGTAGTTTCCAACTATTGTATTGAACAGCACAGCACTGGTTCCAGGGCAACTGTTCCTCACATCCTGGAGTCAGGTTACTTTAGGGACCCTGATGAAAATTGTGGATCTCTCTTCCCGAAAAATTCATATTAGCTACAATCATACATAGACTTTCAGGGGGTTTATGAAGTTCTAGAAGCCCATCTTGGACTTGCATTGCCTCCAAATTAGCACAAGTCCATTTCTAGTCTTATTTTTTTTTAATGTTGACTATTTGGATTTACTTAAGTTACCTAAAAATGAAACTATATATTGTATCTGTAAATGAAAAATAAGTGTGATTTTTCCAACATAAAAAGATAACTACAGTTTTTAGTACTAATTTATTTAAATTGTTCATCCATAGACCTACCTCCTAAACTCATCTTTCATATCACTCTTTGGGATACCCACCCAGTGATTTGGAAACCAGCAGAAGAAAACCTTCTATAAGGCTTCCTCTGAAAGGACATAAGAATTAAATGGAGTTTGAAGGGACATGCTATTAGCCCATTATAATAATAACATTACTACTTACTAAACCTGTATAGTGAGATAAGGATTGGGAGTGAGAGATGGAGGTTGAGAGGAGGAGAAATAGGGAAGTGGCTTAGATGAATAATCTAGGCCTTAAAGAGATGAATCTTGCTTTTATGTTCTTTGCCACCTTCCTCTGTCACAACCCAGTTGATAAGATCTAATGGACAGAAGGGAAAGACACCAAATAGCTGACTATTTGACTCATGCAGCATAGACTTCAAGTTCAAGATTATAAACTCAAATCTACAAAAGACTGAGCAGGTAACTTGAATGAGTCATTTGTTAAAGAGATGGCAATTTGGATTTCTTAGTGTTATGCCTCCTTTTTAAAATTATGATTCATTTATCTTTGTTGTTGTATTTAACACTGATACACTTCATATTTAGTGCTACAAACACCAATAAGAACATTGATTCTGGATTCTAACTGAGGGTGAATTAGGCCAAAGGATATCAAGGAAGTCTTCTTCCATAACATTAGTAGTGGTTCTAAACTTGAAATGTGTCCATTCATTTTGTTGATAGCACTGTAATAAGAGGGCTAGGTATTACGGGCATTATAGGACATTTGATATAAGGGATAGTCCTGCATCCAAAGATTTGTTCTTCCCTAAATGTTATCACATCCAGTTGAGAAACACTGCAAGAGTAAGGGAATTCTCCAAGTCCTCATGTGATGTGGTCATGGCCAACCTGGGTAGGGGCCAAAGCTTTCTTTTGTAATGAGGACAGAGTGCATTTTCCTGGAGCATATTTCCCTGGGGTTGAACAGATGTGGCAGACAGTTAGGCTTCAAGGGTTTGAGGTTTCTGACCATCTTTGGCTTCTCTCACATTTCTGCAAAGCTTTTCAGAAAGATTTTATTGACCTTTTTCTGGTTTCAGTATACTTATACTCTTCGGAGAATGCTTTTTTCCCACAAGCCCAAATATTGCATGGTTTCTTTTATAGGAGAAGCCCAAAATATAGATAAAGACCAAAATAAAAGATAGATAATAGGAAATAAATATATTTTCAGAAAGTTCTAATTTACTATTTATGAAACAAAAAGTGCCCCCCCAAGGGATTTGATGTGTATGACTGAGAGAGGGCCTCTGTTGCTACTCTTGTCCCTTCTGCTCATTGGGATTCCCAGTGATCTATCTTACAGAAACTCTTTTACTTAACTATTCATGTGCCAAAGTATAAAAGTTTCAATGGTATGCCAATATAACCATATTCAGAACAAGATACAAAATATTTTCAGTATCCCCAAAGATTCCCTGATGCCCCACCCTAATTTTGCCTCCCCCTTCCCTCAAGATCTACCAGTAGTCTGACTTTCATCACCATGGACTAGTGATTTTTTGGCCTGTTCTTGAACTTCTTATACATAATATCAGGTAATCCGAACTCTTGGTACAGTATTTGATGTTTTTGTTTCCGTGTAACATCTATAAGAATCATACATACTATCAGTATTTCATTTTTTTTTGTTGCTGAGTAGTATTGATTATATGGCTGTACCATAATTTGTTTATTCATTCTCTTTTTAATTAATAGAAAACTGGATTAGTTGAGTTTGGGGCTGTCTTTTGGGGATCATATGTATTTCTCTTGGCTGTGTGCCTAGAAGTAGATTTGGCAGATGAGAGGGTAGAGATACATTTTTCTGAATTGAAAACTTCCAAACAGCCTTTCAAAGTAGTTTGGAAACTTACACTGTCACCAGTGTCATATGAGAGTTCTATGATTGCTCCATATCTCCTCCAGCACTTGGTAATGCCAATCTTTTTACATTCATGCATTCTATGGATGTATAGTGGCAGAACATTGTGGCTTTAACATACATTATCTTGTGCATTTTTAGCTAAAATGAGTGAGTCGTAAATATTGTGTGGTTCATAACGAAGCTTTTAAAGTCTTGGGTCAAACTACTTACTGCACATGCAATATTTGCTAACTCTTTTCGGGGATCCTAATGTTTCTCTTTCCTAAGAGACAAGATACCTAATTGTACAATCATTCTAGCTTTGTGAAAAGTGAATATTCCTCATCCACATCCCTACTGGGTTTTCACCAAGTTATGATTCTGATAAATGGTGTGCAAGGGAGACCTTGCTTTGCTACCATGGGCATATTGCAATGAGTTTTCCTGTATAGACTATGATGTAGTTTGCCTGCTCAGTAATATCCACTGAGCATTTGTTGAGCACCTAATTTGTTCTAGATCCTGTGCAGAGCTCTGAAGAAGTAACAGGGAACTAGGCACAGTCCCTTTCTTTCTTGAAAGTCTCACAGTTGAGCAAGGAAGACAGAGAGTGAGCATGGCATAGTCATGTAGGAGAAATGCTTTGAGAAATGTGTATCTGTAGGGGTCCTTTGAGGACCAAAGCAAAAAGTCTTCCCAGAGAGGTGCTAACCAAGTGAGTGTTACAGAAAAGAGATGGATGGCATCTCAGCAGCTCCCCTGCCAAGGTGAGCCTCCATTTGGGCTTTTGTAGGGTTTCTGGGGCAGCTGTAGCATGACATATGGCAGTCAGGCACTTGCAAATCTGCAGTCAGAGTGTGTGCGGGGTTAGTCATGGAGGGTGTACTTAGATGAAAATATATTTTGCAAAATTCCAGCCAGAGAATCTCCTTTATTGGTTTACCTGCAAGCAAAAGGAATCAAGACTGCTCTTTGGTCATTGTCTTTGACCACTGAGTTCTACCTTCCACTCACCTTTTAAGGGTAAGTCGCATAATGTTAGGCATCTGTCAAAATTCTTTTCTGGACATAAATCCATTTTCTGTTAAACAGTTTGGAACTACTGTGTACTTTCCTGTATATGGTTGCCTAAGAATCATGTTTAGCTAGTTATTTTTCTCATATGCTACTCAGACCCAACACCAATTGCCCTGAGTAAGGCATAAGCCCACTGTTAGCTTTCTTGTGAAATAGAGTTTTATCTTGGTGTTAGCATCTGAACTTCTGATTGGAGGAGTATGAAAGACACATATTCCTAATAAAGGATGTACTCACCTAAACCAAGCCAGTCCTGATAATGTCTGGAACCCTCTCCCTCAAGCACAACAGAGGCAGCTGTGGGGTATCAGAATTCTTTCTACTTTATTTAACAAACACTCATATAACATCTCTTTCCATCTTCTAGATGATATTCCAACTACATTACACAGAGCAACTCATTTAATCCTCGCAACCACCCTAGAGGTGGACATTACTAAAATTTCCATTTTACAGATGGGGAAACGGAGGCACCGAGCAATTAAGTAACTTGCTCAAATCACAGATGGGGTTTGAACCCACACATTCATACTTATAATCACTGTTCTATGCTGCTTCTTTGTACTTGTAAAATATCCAAGAGAACCTCAGACACAGTTCATTTACAAAACATTTATTGAGCAACTACCTGATGGGTGAATCAGAAACACATTTGCCCCAGAAACTTTTAACCTACTGGGGAGGTGGGGCAGATAGAACTTAATGTTTACAATGCATTGTTAGTAGGAATAGGAAAATAATTCACTTTCCTAAAAAATGTAAAGGAAGGACTTGGGCCTGAAAGGCAGGCTGAGCTTTTCATGAGCAGGAGCATGTAAAGCAGCAGTTCTCAGATTTGTGTCTAAATGAAGGTCCTTTGGGAGGCGTCAGTGCACTTGGAGGTGTAAGATGTTAAGATATGCTGTAGAGAGTGTAGGTAACAGGACTGATAGCAGGGCAGCAGCTGATGCTGGGTTAGAGGTCTTGTATATTAGGCCGAAGAGTAGAATATAATGTTGGACACTGTGGGAAGCTATGGAAGGCTGTTAAGTAAAAGAGAGAGGTGATGAACCACCTTCTAGAAACATGCTGCGTGGATAACAATTGCAATCATCCAAGAGAGGATGAAAATGAGGAGCATAGGGCATTTGGAATGTAGGAGGGTTGATAGTAAAATACATACAGAGTGTGGACCGTAGCATGTGGGAGAAGAACAAGGAGACAGACAAGTGACAGCATGAAAGAGAAAAGGAGGAAGAAGGAGAGAGAGGAGAGGGATGGAGGATGAAGAAGAAAGGAGAGGGAGGGAGAGTGGGGGAGAGAAAGAGAATAATGTCAGCCAGAAGTTAGAAAAGGAGAATGGGTGACACAGGGAAGAAAACTGAAAGGAAAATGAGAAGGACAGAATGGAAAAGAGGAGAGAAAATATGCCAATCCCTTTAAAAAAGTGTTACGGGGAAATGTTACTGGCAAAATAGCTATGTGATTCAGGCTTTTTGAAGTATTTGCTCAGCCAGATTTGTTTTGGTAGCTCACCAGTAGTTATTTTCATGGCTCTGCAGTAGCCCATTGAGATAGCTTCTATCTGAAGGTAATTTGTCGGGTTTATGTAAGACTTCATTTAGGGGGCATTGCCTTGGCATGCAGACAGCTTCCAGGCCTTACACACCAGCAGAAACATGTTCTCTGAAGAATGCAATATAGCAAATTAAATTCATTAGCAGGTACCATGGCAGCAAACAAGAGCACTTACAGAATATTGCTTTTATTTAAAAAAAAAAAAAAAAAAGGCACCTGAAATTCATCCTCACAATTATCAATCTTGAAACATAATGGCTTCAAAACTAAGGAAACTTCAAATATATGGGGGGGAGGTGTCATAATACCTTATTTCAAACTAAATTATTGTTTCCCTCTTTGTCAACCACAAGCAATGTAATTAGCAGAATGAACTATTTCTCGCTGCAATTATTATCATGCTAGATAGGCTTGAGATGGAGCTGGGAGGGGAGTAAAAGTTCTACTCATAAGAGCGCCTGCCACTGTGGATAAGGTAACATGTCAGGTGTTAGCTATCCAGGAGCCTCCTGATGCTAGAGGAGTCTCGTTTCATGAGGGATTTAGGTTACCACAAGCTTTGCTCATTATCCTGCTGCAGTACCAGCTTCCATAGTGGCCTGGAGACATGGTGTGGAAACCCCAGCCTGACAGAGCCTGGAGTTGTGAACTGTTGTCCGGGAGGTGCATTATGTGGCAAAATCCACGCAGTCCTAACACCAGCACAGCATCGCTCAGCACGGTTATCTAAAGTGCATTTCAAGGACGTGTAATTGGGAGAGCTCAGCCACACCGGTGCAGGACGTGGCTTGGAGTTCCCAACAGTTGATTTGCGTAGAAAGTCTTCGTTCGATCTGACTTGAAAGTTGAGTAGGAGAAGCTGATGCTGTGGGTACAGATGTCCTCGAGTCTTCAAAGCCGAGAGGACAGTAAGGTAAGTGTCAAACCACCCCAGTGATGCTCTCAATTTTTTTTTAACCACTTATATATGTAGGTTATGATACGTTCATGTTCAAGGCATGGGCTTCCAGCAGCCAGGTTCTTTTGAAATTCTGACATATCCTTGCTAAGAGTGGGATTACACAAACACACTTGGCTAGTAATTCTCATGTGTCTTGAAGTTAAATGGTCAAAGAAAATATAACCCCTGGATTTCAGGCTGTTTTTGTTGGGGAACAAAGGGTGGAAGGATAATAAAGGGACATGGAATATAATGCTTCTCTTTCTAAGCTTCAAATATTATAAGGATACTTGCAAAGGAAAATAAATTATATTCCGATTCTGAAAAGAAATTGAATAAATAGAAAATTGTGATCTATCCCTAGTGCCACACTTCATTTCCCTTGAGTGCCTTACTTAAGAATGAAAATGTGTTCCAAACAGTGGTGCCATAGAGGCTGAGAGTTTGGGGATGTTCCGTGTTGCAAAGGAAGGTAGAAAAAATGAGAGTGTTCAACCCAGAGAAGGAAACACTCCAGGAATAATGACAGCTGTTTCCAGATATGGACAAGACTGAAGTATAGAGAGAGAGTAACTCTTGTCCTATATTCTTAGATATAAAGGTTTTATCCTGTGGGTAGGGCTGAGGGGAAATAGACCTATTTGACATTCTGGTAAATTTTTTTAAAAGACCTATTCTCCAGAAAATGCGTTTATTATACATGTAAAATTGGCACACTTTATCGGAGATTGTATGGAACCCTGCAGAGTCCATGTACAGAGCTCCTGTACTAGATGGTAGAACTGAGAGTAAATGGAAATCTCAGGGTTTGGCTTGACTTAAGGGAGAACTCTCAAGTAGTTTGCCACATGCTACCGTGGAACTCAGTTATTCCTAAGACAATCCATTTCCCCATAACCAGAATCTGAATGAATTATGTAGAGGGAATACCTAGAACTTCATTGTCACTGCGAACTGGATTTGGATACAGATGTTGTTGTTTCTAGCTGTAAGTCTTCTGACAAATTATTTAATCCTGCTAAATATCCATTCACTCAGCTGTGAAAGAAAGGCCAAACCTTTCACAGGTGATTGGGATAACTCTATGATAAAGGGTAGATAAAATGGTTATCCCACTATTAAAGTAGATTATGAACAAAAATAAACTTTTCTAGGTTTTAAAAGTAATGAGTTGAAAGGAAGAACAAGAAAAAAGCTTAATTCCTGCTTCTGCGTAAGTTCTTTATAATTATGTTCCCTTTTGACTGTTAAGAATATTATAGAAGCATCCTAGCTCTGTGTGGGAAGTTACATGTCTAACTCCAAATATACACTTGATTTATGATGCTAAAAATACTTTTGAAATGAATTGAAAGGTGAAATTATGGTATCTTAAAGTTTTTTTTAAAGCATTCTAACCAAAGTGTGAATGAACATTGTAGAAAATGAAATGTACTTGAAATAATTCAAAATGTTTTCAATAAGGAGAAACTTATCCTCAATTTCTGTTTAATAGAAGAGGAAATGAGGTTGCATTTTAAGGTAATACTTAATAATTGGACAGAAAAATAACTATATATCAAGAGAAAAGGATAATACTAAATAATAACAGTATATAATAGAAGTTAAATGCCTGTCTTTAAGATTCTAGAAAGGAACATGAGTTTCAAAGACTTTTGGTAATGGCCTTTTTAAAAATGTCCAGTTGGGATATGATCTGAAGGATGTGAACATTAAGTGGGTGGCAAGATATTCTTAGTAGCTTTCAGGATGTTTGCTGCAGGTGCACTGTATTTAATTCACCAAGAGCAAATTCATACAGAGTACCTACTATATCCAAGACTTTGTCCCAGGCATATCTGAATGTGAAAGGAAGTCTCTCAAGGTTGGGGAGTTTAGCATACTCTCTGGAAATGATGAGCGGTGCAAGTAAAGATTTCCTAAGCTGTTGAGAGGAAAGCAAGAAAGTTGAAAGTTGTAGGTGACCACAGCCTTCATGGAGGAGATGAGAACTGGCTGAGCTTTGAACATCAGCAGGAGTTGCTATCTTCCCATCTCAGTAAATGGCAACACTATTCAGCCAGTGTTTGATCCAAACCTAAAAGTCATACTTCCTTCCTCTTTTTCCTACCCCAAATCAAACTCTCAGCTACTCCTACATATTCTACTTCCAAAATATATCTTGAGTTAGCTCACTTATTCTCCATTTCCATGGACCCAGCATCATAGCATCATCATCCCAAAGAAGTGTTTCGGTGGTCTGTGAACTGGCCTCTCCACTTTGGGCTCATCCTTGAATCCATTTTCACAGAGCAGCCAAAGTGATGAAGTCATTACCTCAATTTAAACTCTTTAAAGTTTTCCACTGGGCTAAAAATAAAATCTTTGCTTCTCTCCATGCATACCAGACCCTGTATGAGGTGAATCAGCCCCACTGATCTCACCCCTCTTCTCACCTTGGCTCCCCATGGCCAAGCTACTTTGGCTTCCCAGGATTCTTTGATCTGGTTAGCTGTACAGTGGAGAAAAAATGTGAAAAGGCTTGAAGGCTATACAGGGAGATCAGTTCACAAAATTAGCAGGAGAGCCTGGTTTTTTAGTAATTCTGCCACACAAGTGTGGATATATGAATGGGAAATGTAGGAGGCATAAGCTGATTTTGAGAACTTCTAGAAGGAATCCTTTGTTAGCTCAAAATTTATCTCTCTACCAGCTTCCATAAATTCTTTCCTAGGAATTTTATTAAATTCCCATGAAGAAATACAGCCAGTATTTACTATGTGTGTGGGGACCCTACCTTCTTAGCACTTTGCAGGCTACTTGGGGACCAAGACAATTACAACAGAGGATAATTACAGTGAGGAGATTTATAAGGTGGCATGAGAACACATGGGTGGAGCACCTAACTCGGAACTGGGAGGTCAAGGAATCTTCCCAAGGGAAATGCTATTTTGAAGCCTGAAATAGTGGGAAGTAAGGCAGGAGGCAGGGACGTGTGTACACGTACTCTTGGCAGGAAACACAGCACATGCAAAAGGATAATACAGTTGCCCCTCGGTGTGCATGGGGCATTGGTTCTAGGACACACACGCTCCAGCAGCTATAGATGCCATAATCTGCAGTTATTCAAGTTCCTTATATAAAATGCCACTTTAATATGAAGGCTATGTAAATGTCATATATGCTTTTTAGGAAATAACAAGAAAAGGTCTGCACGAACACAAATTTTTCAAATATTTTCATCCATGGTTGGCTGAACACAGATGCAGATTCCACAAATATGGAGGGTCAACTGTATTTAGGAAAAACACCACATTTTCATGGAACCCAGTAAAGTTCACAGTGTTTGCCACACAATGGGAAAATGGACAGAATGGAGAGAAGAGGAAAAAATACAAATAGTAAGCAGCAGCCTGTATGTACAAAGCCTTATAAACCATCATAAGTTCTTTCATCCTATTAGTAGCAAGTGAGCAGTAGGAGTGCATGATCTGAATAGCATGTGAAGAGGGGCTAAATCCACAGTGTGGTCATTTAAAAGGTGGTTCTGTAATCCAAGGGAGACACAATGTTGATATGGACCAACATAGAAGTAGAAAGAATAGAGTCTAGAAGAAAGATTTAAAAGGAGAATCCACAAGAGTTAAAGATGTACTGACTGTGTAGGGATGAAGGAGAAGAGAACGATAAAGAATGACTCCTAAGTTTCTACCATGGTCAACCCTTCCTGGGTCCCCATTTGCTAAGATAACAATTCAGGTATTTAAAAAGGAGGCTGAAGAAGCACAGGGAAAAGTCACAGATGATGGGGAAGGGCTTTTTATTTTATCTAAGAGCAAGTTTCTGGCAAGGGCTCTGTAAATTCTGAAAATAAAAGGGAGAGTCTATGAATGATATAGGAGGCAAGAGGACACCTAAAAGAACACTGAATTCCTCCTAAAATCTTCTGCCATTAATAAACAGTATAAAAAAGAATTATTGAGTCTACAGAAAATAACAGTATCTTCCTTACTCCATTATTCTATAGTACCTGGAATTTACAGTTTCTAAAATCCTCTCTGCTTTAGACAAGGTGATAACAGCCCTTTGGGGGAATGAAGAAAGGTGTTTTCTGGTCCCAACTGGCTTCACATCCCTCTTTAACCATGCATAGGTCCTCATTTACATTTTGGATGAGTGAATGTCTGGGCTGTGCGGTGTTTTTATAAGTTTAATGGACATGTGAATGTGGGAGAGACAAACAGACACAGAGAATGATGACAGTAGTTATCTGCTTGAGACACCATCCAATTAATTTAATGTCTGTGACATCATCTCACTTTAGTTGAAGGCCTCTGAAATGAGTCGCTCTTGTTTTACTTGTTATTTAAACTCTGATTAGACAATGTGCTTCCATGAGAGAGTTCATATAGCACGGAGTTTCTCAACAACACCAGCATTGACATTTGGGGGTGGATAATTCTTTGTTGTAGAAAGAGTTTTGTGTATTGTAGTGTATTTAGCAGCACCTTGGCCTCTGCCTACTAGATGCCACTAGATACTCACCCTCCACACCCAGTGGTGACAATCAAATGTGTCACCAGACATTGTCAGATGTCCACTGTTGGGACAAAATCGCCTCCAGTTGAGAATCATTTCTTTAGAACAGTGGTTCTCAAAATGGAGTACTAATGCCAAGAACATCAGTATCACCAGAAAATTAGGACTGCAAATTCTATTACCCCAACGAGACCTACTGAGAGAAAATCGGGGTTGGGGGATGGGTCGCCAGTAACCTGATTAAGAAGCCCTCCAATAATTCTGATGCACACTAGTTTGAGAACAATTTAGAACAAGTAAAGGGTCAGTAAAGTTTCATAAAGAAATGTTATTTATACAAAGAAAAATTTTGAATAAGAGAAAGTCTATCTTCTGTTCCTCTTCCCTTTCAAGAAAGGAAAGTACATCGTCTTATGTTTTTAAAGAAAAGTTATTGATAGTGTCCTATCATGGAA